GTACAATTTTGCCCATGTATGTATCCTCGGCCAAGCCCAAAGCGTAGCTGAGAGTCGACTGTCCCAACAAGGCTAATCATTTCTTCGCTGCCTTCACAAATCATCCAACGAAACTGTTCTGGTATTCGCATTGTGCGGCCTTTGGGGTCTGTATGCCTACGTTTACGGTAGGAAAGAACTTCAAATGTGACGTCTTGGTAAATAAAGACTTCACCATCAAGACTGCGGAGGTGTGCTGACACACTTAGAGTCTGACCAAGCCCTCGCACCTTATTCAAGAGCAATTGAGTGCGTTTATCCAAGTCGATAATTTGATAAGTAAAGAACGCAACGGGTATCTTTAGTTGTGGTTGGAGGGGGGTGCTCGTCAACACTTGCGGAGTCATACAGCGGGCGTACTCGACAGTACACATGCCAGAAATCTCAGTGGTGCCGCGGACATCTTTAATCGTTCCATGATACGTAGCGAATAGACTCAAGTGATCATAGATGGGAGTTTGGATAAACCACGAGACTTGCTGGGTAGTGGATATCTGGAGATCCACGCTCATGTGGTGATATCGGCCAGTGACAGTAAATTCCGGGTAGTTGGAAGTAATAACGAGGTTATCGCCCCAAGCAAGGCGCGTTCCATCCTCTGCAAATGAGCATGTAGTTGACGTGTCATACGCTTCGAAGTGGTGCGTTTCACCATATGCAGTTGACGATAGCACTGATGTACTGTTTCGTGCGTCTGGGGCAGCGGTATAGTCGTTATCAAACACCAAGTTCCCAAACCCTCCAATTGCCGTTACAGTATTCATATAGCGGTATGGTTCAGGAAGGCTAGGGATGAACACACCGTAGTGTGTCCAACCCCACCGTTTAGAACGATCATGCGGCAAGAGTATTTCTGGCACGTTAAAAGGGCGTACTGATTCCTCAATCGCCTTGTCTACGTGTGGCCGAATATAGAGTAGGAGCCTCGAAATAGCGCTTACGACTGCGTTTGTTGGCGGTTGTGTTGTATCCATATTTGGTATTAGCTGGAGTGGTTAAGAGAACTAGAAAATAAAGGTATCTTGTGTTTCATGAAGTATTTAAGGGTATTTATTGCACTAGTAATTTAACTAGTTTAACTAACACACACAAACACATTATTAATACTTTGTATTAAGGCTTGTAGATTACAATTACCGAGGCTCTTGTATTTTTTGAGCGTATGCTGGCTCAACATAGCAGACATGTGAAAATATTAGGAGGTGTAAACTATTTCTTACTGTATTCCTTTGACAGGACGTCGCAATTACCCCGCGTCTCCTACGGCCCCAACTACTTTCCTCCGGGTCCGCTCAGGGATGTGGCTCAATTACGGATGGATGGATGGATTTTATTTCGCCCGGAGGGAAGTCCCCAAAGGGCCACGACATTAAACAGTACTTAAGTAGCTAGTTGACAATCTAGGTTCGTTTGTTACCTAGCACCCCAAGCCCCACAGATGATCGTCTCATCGCTAGCAAGCCAACCTCGTCGCCATTTGTTCCATGACAGGCCTGCTTGAAGGCCAAATTCTCCAAGTGTCCAGCATCCTAGACGTGGTCGCGGTGCGTGTCGTAGCTTCAAGTTGTTTCACAACCTGTCCTAGCTGTTCCTTCGTGTTTACAACTTCTTGTTCCAATTTGCAGATCAGTTCCTGTTGCTTAATAGACTCCTCCTTAAGATCCTTCAACTCATCCAACACCTTTTCGAGTAGCACCCTCTCGCTGTCACCCCCGGTGGTTTCGCTGCTGATTAATCGATGGTTCATGATCCGTATCTGTAGATGAAGCTCGTCTGGCGCGCTTAGTCGTTCGTTTCTCGGCATCCTTTGGCATCCGGTTGATCTCCATTGCCTTCGCGGTCGGCTTCACCGCCCGCATCGATCGTTTCGGCATCGCGGAGCTCACCAGCCCCACCCGTCTGGTCCCCCGCAGTGGGATCCGCTACGGTGCTAACAGCCACCAGCTGGAGAACTCGGCAAGTCTGCAAGGCCACGGAGGAGGTCTGCGGCTCGAACGAACCCACGTCCAAATGAACAAGTTTGGCGGCGCTAACTGTAAAGATTATCAACTTGTCGCTGACAAAATTGAAGGCATTGTCCAGAAGATTCGTGATGGAACCTGGCTTCAAAAAGCGGACGCCTGGATACGCGACAAATACTACACCGATGAGAGGCTTAAGATTGAGCGGCTCTCCGGCGAGTCTCTGTCTATGGAACAGTGCTACATCAATCTCGCCATTGTGGAGAAGCCCAACAAGAATGCGGACCGCACTGAGAAAGGGTCAAAAGAAGCAGATTCAGCCCCACGGTTATCATCGTTTTCACTCTTTTCCCGGCAGAAGGTTGAGACGCCAGACAAGACGATCCAGGTCGAGTTGCCGACGATCTTCAACGAACGCAGAGAACCCAAGGGAAATCAGATACGTCCAAGAAGAATCTTGATTCAAGGACGCGCGTTAGCAAGACTACGCTGTGCAAAAAGATGGTCTACGATTTTAAGCGCCGTATACGGATGGATGGATGGAATTTATTTCGCCCGGAGGGAAGTCCCGAAAGGGCCACGACACTAAAACGCTCGCACCAACCAAGTGGGGCGTGGCACGAGTAGACATCGGCACGGCTCTTCTAGGCGCTGGACCTGGCAATTTTATCCTATCAGACGATGGGGGCGTAATCTCCTTCACAAAATCCATGCACCACGTGATACAGAATTCCTTAGTCAGCAGCTCAATCTTTTCCTATTTCGGTTGTTTGTTTATCTTTCCAGCACTACGTACCGCTGTCAACAGCCTTCTACTGCTTCTTCAACAATGGATTCTCAAGCTGAAGCGTCCGAAGAATTCTTTTGTAGCAGATGCCGAAAATTACGTTCTGTGCTTGAATTTGAAGTGAATAAACAAGGGAGGCGGAACAAACTTGTAAACGTCATAGTCAGAAACGCGTTCTGGAGTTCGATGCCTGGGAGCATTTCACTCTGTTTCTTCGCAATTGGAAGAGACGGGTAAGTAATTTCTAACATGTCAACGAATTGACGTACAAACCCATACCCGTACTAACCTCTGCGAGCTGAATAGAATCGACCTACGATATTAAGCCGGAATTACGTGTT